GACCTGTGAAGGGATGTTTTTATGCTACAAAGTGGGGAAATGCCGTTAATCTGTTAATTCTTAGGAATCGAATGATCGAGAAAAACGACACAGTATGAATGATGACGGAATTCTTTCAATGTTAAAATGGCAACAGACTCTTTCAGATTTTACAGCATGGACAGGTTGTGATACATATTTATATGTTCGGTTTGAAATTCAGATGAAGAGATGCGCAAATGAAATCCAAAATTTCTGTGACCTATAGAAAGAGTTGTTAGGATATCTGAGTAGCATCCCTTTAAATTTACGAACCTAGATAGCTTATCGGGGAAAGTATACCCATTGGGATATAGCAAAAATTTAATAACACAACAGGTAAGTTTTTTGTGTTAAAGAACTGTTAACTATTGTTAGAAAAGGTTGGTAGTGACACGACAATATATGAGAACGTTGTTTCTTCGTTAGGCCTATAGCCATTTTGAATTTCAGCAACATTGTTGTGATATATTCCTACGCACTGTTTCTGATGCGTAAATTTTATAGTAAACTGAAGGAAAGTTTCATTTTATTATTTAAGAAATGAATGTAATATTTTTTTTCTTTGACCGACGTATCAAAGAAAAAATTTGGACGGAAAACGTCATCAATGCGCGTAGCGCATTGATGAAAACGTTTTCGGTCCAAATTTTTTCTTTGATACGTCGGTCAAAGAAAAAAATATTACTTTCATTTCTTATCATTTAATTATGATTTTGAAATAATAAAATGAAACTTTCCTTCAGTTTACTATTAAATTTACACCAAAAACAATGCGTAGGAATATATCACAACAATGTTGCTGAAATTCAAAATGGCTACAGGCCTAACGAAGAAACAACGTTCTAAAATATTGTCGTGTCACTACCAACCTTTTCTAACAGTAATTAACAGTTCTTTAACACACAAAAAAAACTTACCTGTTGTGTTATTAATTTTTTGCTATATCCCAATTGGTATATTTTCCCCGGAAAGCTATCTAGGATCGTAAATTTAAAGGGATGTTACTCAGATATCCTAACAACTCTTTCTATAGGTCACAAAAATTTTGGATTTCATTTGCGCATCTCTTCATCTGAATTTTAAAACCGAACATATAAATATGTATCACAACCTGTCCATGCTGTAAAATCTGAAAGAGTCTGTTGCCTAATGTTTAACATTGAAAGAATTCCGTCCTCATTCATGCAATGTCGTTTTTCTCGATCATTCGATTTCCAAGAATTAACAGATTAACGACATTTCCACGTTTTGGTAGCATAAAAACATTTCTTCACAGTTTTATTGTTCATACCAGTTATCTAAAAGTCAAACATTTAACATAGGTATGCTGATGTCTTTCCTTCTTTCCCATTACTGTATTGTTGTCATGCAGACGATCTGATTTGTTTAGCAAAGGGGGGTAATTCAAAAAGAAACGAAAGTAGAAAAAATAAGTCAGGAACGTAACGAACAAGTTTCGAAATTCAGGAAAATATCTGTTAGAGAAAAAGTATAACTATTTAATTGTTCCTTCTTGAACTTCTTGAAGCGGGAAATATACATGTAAAGACAGCCAAAGTAGTTCCGGTTGCAAAGTGCAAGCGAACTCCAAATTCTATTGATGCAGTTATCAAAAGAATTTTTTATCCAATCAGAATCAATTATTTTATAGAAATTAAATGATTTTAAAATCATAATTAAATGATAAGAAATGAAAGTAATATTTTTTTCTTTGACCGACGTATCAAAGAAAAAAATTGGACAGAAAACGTTTTCATCAATGCGCTACGCGCATTGATGATGTTTTCCGTCCAATTTTTTTCTTTGATACGTCGGTCAAAGAAAAAAATATTACATTCATTTCTTAAATCAAACCCCTGTCACACAGGGACTGCATCCTCACGGTGATCGCATAAAAAATGGAAAATGTCGAGGTGAGCGCAGTAGAGTCTCCCACAGCGCCCTGACAATGCAGCGAGATCTCCACTGAACGCAGTAGGGTCGCGTACGCAGCTAGGTTAAGGACGCCCATGAAATATACGCCTTTATATATTCAGGGAAAATGAATACAATTTTCATATTTTTTAAACAGCAGTAGTTTTGATAAATGTGAATTATGGTGATTGCATTTGTATATATCGGGTCTCTGCTGAGTTTGGCCAAAGTGACATCGCTTACATCAGCTGTTTGTCACGTGACAGGTTTAAAATTGGACCATATATGTACTACTACAAAGATCGTAAAAGTTCAACGATATACAGGCATCTTTCCGCTATAAAATTTATTTTGTTTTCTTTGAGACAAATTCCTTAACCCGAAAAGTGCTGGGAGCAACTTCCTCATGCTCGAGAATTGTTTAAAATTTAGCCGTCTTTCTATAAACTCCAAACAAAAATGTAATACGCATTGGAATAATGTTAGATTACGGAATAAATAAAGAATGTACAACCAGCTCCCAGCACTTTTCAGAATAGTAGGAATAATAGCTACCTGTGTTTAAAAATTCAGAATTTATAGTGAAGCGGATATCGTTGAACTTTTAATATTTTCAAGGGGCTGGACCCCTCATTCTAGCACGTTACTGTACAAATGTGCTCCCTACGGCTATATCTAAAGTCTACACATTATCAATTTAGTTTGACAATAAAATGAGGATTAATATACTTCAGAATATGTCTCTCTTTTTGTCTGACTATGCATGTTTCGTATTTATTTTTATTTTTACAAGCTACGATAAAAGCTTGATCCACGCCTCAAATACAGAGAAACTGCGTGTCAAACTAAGAAATGACGTCATCTCAGTAAGTACAGCGAGATCAAGCTGGCTTTCATTCTGCATACACTAAGTGGTATTATGGCAACATAAGTTGCACATCCATGTATCTTTATAACATTTATGAGAAACGAAAGTATTTAGTGTGTTTTAAAAAGAACATATAGTATTTATTCATCGAGATTCATTTGTATTGTTTTTAACGTGACGTCATAATAGCCCTCCCGAACCTCTGCATAGACTGACGTATATATGGGAGTCCTTAACCTAGCTGCGTAGGGTCTCCTAGAACACCAGGGGATGGCACGCACTTTGGGCATGCACAAAGTATGTGCCGTGTGATCGCGGTCTGATAAGAACCCAGTAGAAACGTAGTATGATCACCGTAGCAGCGCGGTGAGATCTCCAACAATGCAGTGGGAGCTCCGTAGGCACGCCGTGAAGATGCACATGATCGCAAAATGAACACAGTGACAGTAGACTGCGCTTCCAGAGAGACCTCATGAAGTCCTTGGAGATGTCACTGCGTTTCTATCGCACTTTTAAGGCACTTCTAATGAGATTAATTGTCTTGTGATTTTTTTGACTGCGAATACACAGCGACAACAAAGAGTTGTCACTGCGATGATTGCGCTCCCTTGGCATCTCTACCGCCTCTGTTTACGATCACACTGCGCTTTCACGGCATTGTTGGAGCGTTGTCAGCTAGCTCACAAAACAAGAGCAATGGCCTCATATTTGATCAGCAATAATTCTAACGTATTTGTTGCACTCCTGACCAGAAGCATGGGAATAGAATTGGGTAGTAAAAATTACACCAGAACTTGTTCTGTTTATATTATAACAAATTCAAAGAAAAGATAAAAACACATCTGAATTGATATATTACTGAAAAAAGAAGGGTTTTAATAATAAAACTATCAATTAATAATTTAGTACTAAATTATTCAAATAGATCATTTTTAATGAAAGAATATTTCTTGGCATTAGTAGAAGTCTTTTTGTCATGTGACTTGAATCTTAAAAAAAAATGTGTTACACTCCTTCTACATGTTCTTAGTATATATCCATAGTGAAGAATGCATTGTGAACGTATTGTGAATGCAGCAAGCACAATGAGAATGCCGTGAACATGAAGTGACATTACTCCTACATCCACAGGGATGCCATCTTCACATTGTGAAAATTTTACAGAAATTTGTGCAATTTCCCTGCGATTTTAAAAATTTAACAACGCCGAAATAACTCCATGTGGATGCAGCTTGGTGTTACAGGGCCTTTATATCTTATAATAAAAAATAGTGAAAATTTGGAGGCATCAAATAAAACTTGAACCTTTTTCTCCAGCACCACGGGGCCAGAAAAGACAAAACTTAAGAAAGTGCTTCTTTTAACATGTTTAAGCTCACATGACCAGGAGGGGTTCCCTTCGGGGTGGGGGCTCTACTGATTAGATATTGAAAATGCATTAATTCTTTGATAATCCTCTGCTCTGCTTCTGAGTATTTAGTAAACAAACTAAGCATATAGTTATAATGAGCAAGGATGCCTTTTTCGAAATAGTGAATTTCATGGCCTTTGGTTTGAAATGTGAACCCTGTCCCAGTTCAGTTGTGGGAAAGTTGTTACATGATACTCAGGTGACCTATAAGGCCCATGGGCCTGTTGTTAATATTGAATTATTGTGTCAGTACTACTGGGTAATCAAAGGTTCTAAAAGTTTGAAGTATTAAGTTAGAAATATATATCTATATCTATCTATCTATCTATCTATCTATCTATCTATTTATATATATATGATCATGTGACTCAAAAATAGCTGAAAACTTTTCCATTTTACTATACATAATTTTGTTTCTTGTGTTATTATGCACATCTAATGGTATAAATTTTATGAACTCCTGGAGGCAATCCCCACTCTCTTGAACTGGAAATGTTCACAATACTACCTGCATCAAATTTAAAAGTGCATCAATGATAATTTAGATTGCTTGACATTCCATTCATGACTTTGGGTCAGCACACGTCCCTCCTAGAATTAGGAATGAAAATCGTTAGAAAATCGTTAGAGAGATGCACCATTAAACTATTTGTGTATATTCACATTTTTTATGTCAAAACAAAGTATTATATATATATATATATATATATATATATATATATATATATATATATATATATATATATATATATATATATATATATATATTCATCATCATTTTTTCAGTAGGAAGGGAATACTTGACAAAATGGCTGATGTGAAGGAGACAAACTTTCTAAAGCTCGTATGGCTCTTGATGAAATATGGTGCTAAAGTTTTACAGCACAGAATTGAATTTGAACTAAGAACACAAAAGGGGCAGAAATTGTGTGATTTTCTTGAGGAAAAAAAACATGAAATTTTTCATTTGACAGTTTTAAAAAAATGTTGCAAATGCCCTGAATTCACAGACAACAAAGGTAAACCACGTTTACCCAAAGATGTTTTAGAACAACTGTACCAAAATGTGGATCAGTGCTGCTTGCCGAGATTTAGGGGCTGCTGTTGCTGCAAGCTTTCACCTCATACGGATCTGAATATTAATGTTACTAAATTGGACATAACCCTCACAAGTTGTTTGCTGATAAATTTTCTTATAGAAGATTCAGGACAGAAACAAGTTATTGAAAACATTCGAAAACTGAGGAACGACAAAGAGTTGTTACACAGAGGGAACGCTGAAGTGGACAATGACAGGTTTGAGAAGCTTTGGCTGCAGTTATCAAATGCAATAAAAGAAGTGGTGGAGAAGTGTGAGCCATATGTCTACGCAGAGATCAAGGAGGAAGTGGACAGACTGAAAACAAGTCCTCTCTGCAAGGAAGACACCATCTTGTCAATAAAAGCATGGAAAGAGATACAGGTACTACATGATTAATTGTACATGTATCAAAGACAATTCATAACTTGAAAATGATAAACAGATGAATAAATCTGTTCACAATTAAAACAGTGGTGATGTGTATGTATTTGTTAAATCTTTGACAGTAATTACCTTTGGAGTAACTGATTTTGACAATATAGTGAATCATTTCTATTGATAGATGTTTCAAACACAAAGTTAGGAATCTCAACTCACTTATTTTTCAGCAAATTATTGCTTATATTGATAATAAACTACCTACAGTACCTGGCCATAAGTCTGTCATAAAATGGCTGACGTAACATAACGTGAACAATGTAAACGCAAAATTCAAAGATGAAAAAACTCGATAAATATTAAGTACTTACCCTTTTATCTCTAGTATTTAGTTGCATGGCCTTTAGCTTTAATAACTTGTCGAATTCGCCTTGGAATTGAAACGTACAGACTCTAAATGTAGTGCTGTATTTTCCTTTACTTTCATGATGAGGTCTTCATGATTATGAATATTGTTTACCTGTCTCTGAAGACGAATTTTTATGGTTCTCCACACATTTTCAATTATATTAATATCTGGAGATTGTGATGGCCAGGTTAGACATTTAATTTCGTTTTCGGTTTTCCATAATTTTGTGGTGTTAGAGGTGTGAACCGTTGTATTATCGTCCTGGAATACATAGTCACCATTCGGGAAATGACGCATAATAACAGGCCATAAATTTGTATCCAAAATGTTTATGTATTTTTGGGAATTAATATTCCCATCTACTTCTGTAAATGTTCTGACTCCTTCATATTTTCATGAGTAACACATCCCTAAAACATTGCCGAGTACTTTCTGTTTCCACGGACGCCAAGACACTCGGGTCGCCATACTTCTGGTCTTCTCCAGATGTAAACTCTCTTATTTTGATCAATCACAACCTGAGTTTCATAGCTGAAAATCACCATTTTCCAATTATCATTCACTGTCCAGTGTAATTTACCTCGACACCAATTTACATGACGTGTACGTTTTACAGACCATATTGTCAGAGTCTTCCTTGTTTTCCTTATTGTAAAGTTAAAAAATCGCAAACATCTTCTTACCGTCCGTGAAGAAATGGAACTTGGTAATTTTGTGTCACTTCATTCTTTTGAGTTTCATGCATCGAAGTAGCTTCCGATCACCTCGTACATCAGCTTTTCTAGGGCATCCGTTTCGATGCTTATTTTCACTGGATCCTCGCGTCTTACATGTATATCGCTTAAGAAACTTGGAATCCCAGACTGGCTTACAGAAAGAATAGTAGCTGCAATGTCCTGTTGGGTATATCCACTCTCAGGCATAGTTATTATTGCATTTTTCATAGAGGTAGACATCTGTTTACCTTTAGTAGACATCTTGTCAATTGCTAACTATTTGACAGATAATACGTCACTTTTATAAAATGACATCATCAAATTATTGTATACACTCTATAGAAAGAAACTATTCAACTGCGGCTTGTTTAGAGTGATTTATTTACCAACGCTAAAGAAAAAAAAATTGGCTTTCTGAATTTTGAGATTTTGGCAGCCATTTTTATGACAGACTTATGGCCAGGTACTGTAGTAGGTTTGTCACAATTGAAACTTGCACAATATTAATAGATGGAAATAATGAAAATCATATACTCTCTTACGTATACATTAGTGCATTTAATGGCAAAAGATTAATTTTAAGCATATTTATTTCCAAAACTTAATTTTTTTTTCAGGAAGAGTCTGGCAGCCCAGTCGATAGACAACATAGTTATGAACTCTACCAGAGAATGACACAATTTTGCTGTGATGTAGAAAGCTTAACAACTCAACTTCAGGTCTCCTATCTCTCTTCCTCTCTTTTCTGTTACTCTTTCTCTTGCCATCTTTCTAGATCTCTCTTCATCTTTATCTCAACATTCTGCAAGGTACAATAAGTCAAGAAAAGACTAGATCATTTTCAGTATTTACAGGTGTATGCACATCAGGATAATACCTTTTGTACATTTTTTTTTCTTGTTTTAGGAAGTGAGATTTCCAAAGACTGACCCTGAGCTGGAAAACTTGCTTTGTAAGTTAATTCTGGTCTTGATTTTTTTTTTTTTTTTTTTTGGATAGCTTTACTGTAAAGAACCAGAAGAGCTTGACAGTGAAAAAGTGTCTGTCATAAGTCCATATGTCTGTAATGTATTTAGACTGCCTCATCTTCATCCAGATTTGGTCACATTTCAGTACATAACTTGCTACAGAGGTAGAAAACATTAAGATGAATAATTATCCCCTCGCAACAGAGATGGAGAGGGTATAGTAACATCCTTGTGGGGGTGGGGGCTTAGTTTGTCCTTGTGTGCGTTATGGAAATGATGTAATTTGCATAAGGATCCATAATGAATGCTGTCTTGATTTATAGATATGCTCTTTTTGAGGCAGTGTTCTGTTTTGCGATGCCCTAATTATAATACTCAAAACAGAACTGATACAGTCTAAAAGCTTCTTTTCTTTTGGACTATTAAAAGTTGAAACCAGTTGAGCTACATGTTCAGTCTCATCAGAGACATTTGCTCATTTCTTGTGTCCTAAGCTTATAGATGTGTAAAATTGAATACCGGTAGTAATTTTATAATGCTAAAACCGCTTCATTGTAAATTTTGAATATGTGACATGTAAGTTGTTAAAATTTTCTTTGTGTAAAATTCAATCCATTTTTAGTCTAACTTCTACCTTTATAAAATATCAAAAGCTTACACAGAATCACAGCTAAAGGCCCATGAAGAGAAGATCTATGTAGAACCAAAGAGAGCCATGCAACATTGCATTAAGCATCTAGGAAAGCACAGATTTATTTGTATAACAGGTGAGGCGGGAAGTGGAAAGACGAGCTTCGGACTTCAGCTGATGCAGCATATAATTAGGAAGAACCAGAACTGTGTATCTATTATTCTAACAGATAGTAGTCAGTGGTTTAAATTTATATCTTGGAACAAAAAGTTTGTTATTTTTATAGATGATATAATAGGGAAGTCAAGTCTTAGTGAAAGAGATTTTGAAGAATGGCGTAAGGTTTTTGATGCAATGCATCTTCGTGTAAGTGATGATAAATTCCCTACATTCATTATTTTTTCATTTCGAAATTGTATTTGGGGAACAATGAAAGATGTGTTAAAAAATTATATTTTATTCAACATCTCTAAGACTTCCTTTGTTGATCTTTCAGGGTCAGATTTTGGCATGACCTTCAAAGAAAAGAAATCAATGTTGTACAGATTTTGTAATCTTCATCAAATTTCAATTTGTATGTCTGAGTTTGAAGAGAATAGATCTTTTGAAGATTTTGGTCACAGTGCTTTATATCTCTGTGAGAAGACTTTGAATCACATTGCAAAAATGGAGACTGTGAGTGGTTTTCCCCTTTTGTGTGAAGAATTTTTTAACAGTCCAGAATCATTGAAACAAAGGTCAAATTTTTTCACCATCAATTCAGCACGAATTCATTTTAAAAAGCTGGTTGATGATTTATTATTCAAAAGAATGTATTTACAGTATGTTATGTTAGTTTTCTTTTTCTTGGAGGTTTTAATTGAGCAATCATACACTTTACAAGAAATTATGAAACTAAAATCAAAGATAAAGGATATTGCTAAGAAAATAGATTTACTTCATCATGTATCACACCAGATAAACAAAGCTACCATTCAGGGAACCCTGTGTGATATGAAGAATACTTTCATACAAATTAATGATGACAGGTACAAACTTAAGCATATGGTTGTTTATGAAGCAATTTTGCTGTCATTTGGGGAGAGTTTTCCATCTTCATTTCTAGAACTTGTGAGCAAGAATGATGTGTTTACATATGTTAGGTCTCAAAATTATAAACCAGAAAAATGGGAGATCTGTGTGCATTTAGAAGATGACATGACAGAGTCTCTAGCTAGAAAACTGATAGAGATTTATGCTCCAAACACATTTGATGCCTACACAGTTGTTTACAAACACCCATCATTTAACGATGAACATTTGGTGTCTTGTTTTTTGGACATTGCGGAGAAAGATGTTGAATTCGGGGCCTTTTTAGACTCTTTTGTGGCTGGGGCTTGCAGTTATAAAAAAGATAAGCTAGCTAGTGAAACGGTCAAAAAGTTTTCCAGCTTTTTATCATTTGACTTTGAAATATTCAATGTAATTTTGACCCATGACCTCATCGATACTTTCAATCAATTTATTGATAATTCTGAATTTCGAAAATTATTAATGGCTCATCTCTTGGAAGAAAAAATTGATAATAATGGGAATTCTTTGTACGTTGCTTCTATAAGTGGTTCTAGGAGATGTTTTCTTGGTATGCTAGATTTACTACTATCCAGAGACGATGATCTAGAAACAGATGGAGAGAGACAGTTTGTGCTTTCAAAAGAAAAAGTTGGGGGGCTAATATTCAGGATTCTGTCGCAGCATGATGGGGCTGCAGGTACTGACTGGAGGGAGGCATTAACAAAACTGACAGAATTACTGCCGTCTGAAAAAGACAAGCAAACAGTTTACATACTTATAATTGAGAACTCTATTTTGTTCAGGAAGTTTGATGTTGCACAGGAATATCTTCAGTTGATAACGTCTTTCACATCTGATGATGTGTTTTACTTTATGAACACTTGCATAATCGTTGATGGGGATGAGTTTTTTAATGTATTAAGTAAGAAGTTGAAAGCATTAAAGTTTGTGTTTAATTCTAACGTACTTGCTTTATTAGCCATTTTTAATGCCAGGCATAATGAGAACATGGTCATGAAGGTATTACATGAGTTCAATGATCAGTGTAACTATACATGTACCGACATCGATGGTAGTACAGTACTACATGCATGTGAGGAGAATCACTTTTCTGATGCTAATTTGCTGTTTATTTTACAAAGACCTGAAGGAGAGTTTATGTTTACCTCAGTAAATGATAAAGGTTTGACACCTGTACAGTGTAGAGAATCTTACAACAGTGTCAGTATGAGGAGTCAGTGTGTAGAACTTAACCGTACATTCAGCATGAGGGGTGGGTGTAGATATTCATCCCCCAGAGTCAGGAGTTATCTGAGTATGGAGAATATACATCAGTACTCTCATTCTGGTTCAGAGAGAAAATTCAATACGTCTCTGAGATATGATTGTTTTACATGAAAATTGCTTGTTTTCAGTACATATAATTATTTTATTTATATGTCTACTGTTGTTTTAGTTTACTTGGAATATTTATGCATGTATTTCAAAGTGGTCAGATGTTTGTGCATTACGTGGGTACCTCTTACTTGTCAGAAATTTTTTTACATCAACCCAAATGGATAAATGTGATATTTTTCATTAAAATACCAGTATATTTTTACGGTCGGGAATAAGTCCCCTTGAACCTATTACTTTTAGCAATCAACTAATTCTGACCACAGTATTGTTATATATTTATCAATCAACAGACACATACATTTGTTTATAGCTTGAATATAAAACATATAAACAAATATTTTGTGAGTGGTGAGTGCACTTATCTGAAATCAGATAATTGAAACTCCAGTATTAGGTTATAAAGGAATACCATATACCACTTTCCAAGTAGAATGGAAACTGGCACCTTAATCATGTTAATTGTTGAATTTTGCATAATTATTTAAAGGATTTTCCCTAACAAACCTTTTATTGTACATGTATGTTTGAAGTTTACTCCCCTTTTGAAGTATATGGATTTAATGTCTTACAGATTTAAAATGATATTGTAATTGTACATAAAATTATGCTCGTCTGGAAAATTATTTATCAATATTACAGTGTAAAAATATTCAACAGAACTATATTTCTGATTGAGTTGATATAGTTTATTACTGAATATGTTATTCATCATGATAACTAAATTTACAGCAATTCTTAGAAACAAAATCCTGGATACACCTATGATGTTAACCTGAATTTATCATTAAAGTTGTCAGATAGATACATACCAGTGAAAACAAATGATATTTTTGTTTAAGCCTAAAGTTTGATCCTGTCTGCTTCATATTTTATTTTACAGAGCACAGAGAGCTTGATTATCTCACATTTGGCACCCCTTTTTCAGCTCTTCTTTTTTTTAAATTAAATATTTCGGATTTCCAACGTTTCAGCATGAGCATCACTGAAGACACATAATTTGTCAAAATGCGCCTGCCATCTGGTGCATCAAAATTGGTACTGTATAACATTTATATGCATACAGTCAGTGCTGGACTATAATATCGAATTATAATCAAGTAATACCATCTCAGGCATGCTTGTAGATTCATAGTTCTAGTATAGTAAAAAAAAAAAGCATTCTGAGAGTATTGCATTAGCAATACTAGTCCCCTACCGGCAAGTATAATCTGGTTCCCGCTAAAAATTGAAAATGCCATAATTTTGTCAAAAATCAATGAAGCGGAACGAAATGCAAACTTGATCTATAACTTATCAAGGTAAAGTCACATACCAAAAATCAGCTCAATATCTGCAAGCGTTTAGAAGAAAATTGCGGAAAACCCTTAAAAATTGAAGAGGTCGTAATTCCGTCAAAAATCAATAAAGCGGTACGAAATGCAAACTTGATCTGTAACTCATCAAGATACACTCACATACTAAAAATCAGCTCAATATCTGCAAGAGTGTAGGAAAAAAATGCGGAAAACCAAGTGGGATAGACTGACAGTCAGACATAGGGACAGCTAGACAGACAGACGGACGGACAGACTCAGAAGAAACCTATAGTCCCCTCCGGTTTCACCGGTAGGGGACTAACAAGCTTCAGCTACATGTACAAAGTACTAGCTAAGGGCCGTTCAAAATTTACACTGACTCTGTTACAATTTATCTAACTGACATCAAATAGAAAAAAAATGATATTTCTATAAAACTTTTATGATATCAATCTGTAATATTTTGAAAGGGAATTTTCATACGTTAAGATTCATTTACGATATTTGTGACTTTTTGTGTGTTTTTGTCCTCAAATATCTTTTCCGTACAAAAACTCTGCGTAATTTTTGAACAGCCCTCGTTTATATATGAAATATGTAATTTTGAATCTGCTATTTCCTATTTTATATCTCAATGTGTTAAATATATTTTATTTAAAAGTTTTTCGTTTAAATATGAATTAATATATTAGGTGAAACTACATGTATTCATAAAATGTCATTTAATGCTTAAACATGCTTTGATCTGTAATATTACATCAATATATTGTTCAATATTCAGTGAATGTTGCCAGGCAGTTATTTGTAATGTACAAATACCTGCAATGCCAGGTCATGCTGTTATGGCAAAAGAATTACTAACAATATCAACTGTGTAGTGTAAAGTACTAAATTAATTAGTAATTTAGCACTCTATTTTCAGTCCCTTAACTGTGTATACTTGTGATAAAGAATACATCTTGTAAATAATGTTAATACATTTCTGTGATAAATAATATATACAGCACTTTTATCTCTGTAATGTTTTTTTTCTGCATTTCTTTTTTAGGTCACCTGAGTTTACTCAGTTGACCTATTGCTATCTGTTTTTGTCCGTCGACGTGCGTTGTCGTGCGTCGACCGTCATGCTTTAACATTTAAACATTTTCAGCTTCTTCTCTGGAACCACTGAACCAATTCCAACCATTTTTTTGGCATATAGCATCTATGGGTGAAGGGGAGTAAAATTTTATGAAATTCATGGTCCCTGCTCCCCTGAGGCCTGAGGGGTGGGGCTAAAACCATAAAAATTGCTGAAATCTTTGAAGTCTTCTTTACTCCTAGACAACAAGCAGTCAAACAGTTGGCATGATTGTTATTAGCATTGAGCTCTGTACCACAATTGTTAAATTCATGGCCCCTGGGTCAGTGGTTTTGGTGCTAGGGCGGGGCTGTGTGGACTATATAGTAAAAATGCATTATTTCTTTAAAATCTTCTTCTCTGCTCCTGGGTATTAAGGAAAAAATTTAAATGCATATCTATAATGAGGCGGGGCTCTAATGGTTTATATAGTGAAAAGCATTAATGAATTAATTCTTTGAAAATCTTCTCCTCTGCTGCTGAGTATTAAGGAAACAAACTAGATGCATAGTTATTATGAGGAAGGGTGCCTCTTCCATAAAAGTGAAATTCATGGCCCCTGGGTCAGGCGTTCTGGTTCTGGAGGCTCTAATGGTTATATAGTGAAAATGCATTAATTCTTAGAAAAAAAACTTCTCTGCTCCTGGGTATTAAGCTGATGAACTAAGTGCATGGTTATGATATATATATATATAAAGAGAGAGAGAGAGAGAACACTAAAAACCAACAACATTGTATATCCTAAGTGTCGGATCTACTAAATAGAAACAAGGTCAAGGATGGACATTTATATAAAGCATTAAAAATGATCAACGACACGAACAATAGAAATTGTCAAATTTTCGGGACGACTTGTCCCTTCCTCGAGACAAAGGAAAAAGTTAAGAAGTCATGAAAACAAATTAAGGAAACAGAAAAACAAAAAACAACTAGCACTGCTACTAAACTACCAAACACTATGTATTTACAATGTTACATGTTTAATTTGAAGTTTTTAACCAGTTACAAAGAAAAAAATCCGGACCGCTATGAAATACGTCCGGTCTTTCTGGTGTACTCTGCTGAAGTGCGATTTACATATTAATTGAACGGATTAATTATCGCTAATTAATTACGACCAAGTAGTAAATCGTAAACTGTCTTATTATCTCAAAATACAGCAAAACTCGTTTAGTACAAACACGGATATAGCGAATTTACGGATATAGCGAAGTTTTTTGCAATCCCCGGCAAAACTCTTAACAAGTCCTTGTAAAATTTAACGGACTCGGATATAGCGAATTTACGGTTATAGCGAACTGATTTTGTGTCCCATAGAAGTCAGATATTACAAAATTTACATCTTTTATAGCGAACTTTTTAAGATCTTAAATTTTAAAACATTGAACTGATAATAATTTAGTAAATACAGGTAAACTTCGGTATATGGGATATGTCGACGTCCGTCCGCGGTCCCGGCAGTATCACTATATATTAAATGATTTGCAAAAACTCTGATATATCGACCTCGATAATGTTGACTACCCCGCTTATCTCGAAGGATATTCACAGTTCCAGGAGCAAAATATACCTGGAATATGTGGACATCGGGGCAATTTCTGCTATACTAAACCTAATTGTTTGTCAGGTGGTCGCTCGTCACGCACGGACGCCTCCGTGTATCTCGACCTCGTCAAAAATTCACACCTTTCAAACCCATGTTTTGACTGCACAGTGCTTAAATAATTCTATAGAACCTTGTTTGTAGAGGAATCCCAAGCCCCCTCGGCGTCTCTGAGACGTTAATTGTTTAATTTCAGCTAGGGTATTATCATTGATAAATCCGGCTACACAAATCGGTAAAATCGTTTATTTATTTCGAAACCTAACATAACTTTAAAATTTCGAGAAAAAAGTAGCTAAAGTACAATGAATAAAAAACGCATTGAATGCAAATTAAACTATGGAATTGTGTTATTAAAAAATGCATTCAACAGGAAACAATCCAATCTACGATATGCACGATTACTGAATCAGCGTAACATTCATGCATGTGAAACATCAGTACGTTTGTTTCAATTTAAATTCGCAGGTCCTCAGAACTTTGCTATAACCGAGTTTTGCTGTAGCGTAATTGTACATGAAAAAAAGAAACCAAAGAAAGATTAATTGGACGGGAAATCATACAATATGAATTTGGATGTATTATACATTTGGAAATGTTTTTAGGATTGTATATCGGATAAAAGAAATAATACACAAAACATAATTTCCAAACGCTTTCAAGAACGCTGGGAATGTATTACAAGGAGGTGTTCTAGAGAACTGATGTCACTCTGTCTTTCTTGGGATATCCACAAGTAAGAACAATTTGAGAGTGATATCTCGTCCTTAGAATCATCCCTCACTGATAAGATGTCCCAGGCTAACCTTGATGAAGCCCATAATATTATTGCCACCTACAATATGGCCCTAACCAATGATCTCAACATTAGACGCAAAAGAAGAAATTTCTCCGAGACAATGTTCCAAAGACAGAAACAACTGGACAGAGTTAACCAATCACGTAAATCCCGCTCTAGTCGCTTCAAGCGGAAAAAGACAATCACGGGGGACGGACCCTTACAAACTCCGTACTTCTGTCCAGTGCTCAATAAATCTATAGTGTTCCTCTCTCCGAGTCGGAGACCTCAGTTCTTTCTAAGGGGCTGAATTTCTGTCCCATGAGGTCGACAAAAACAAAAACAAGTCAGAGAGGACACCCGAATATTCTTTCAGAGATTTCGACTGAAGGAGCACTTATCTAGAAAAGACTCCGATGATGATTCATACGACTCTTCCCAGCCACAATTGCACAACCTAGAGAAACACAAACTCTATCGGCCCAAAAGCAACTGGGAACCTGCATCGGGCAAATGCGGAGCCCTTGAGTCGTACATTGACGCCGTTGAGTCAGAC